ACCCATCCCCTCCTCTCTCCTCCTCCTCCCCTCCCCCTCCTCTCTCCTCCTCCTCCCCTCACCATAAGACACAAGCGTGGTGGCCGAGGTGGCGTTCTCCTGATCCACCACACTGAGGCTGTGGTTGCTGGCCAGGCTGAGACTCTGCAGGCTCAGGAACAGCAGGCTGTCCTCCGCCACCGTCCTGGTCCACACGCAGTCGGCGTTCAGCGGGTACTGGTTGGGGAAGTTGGGGGTGGACAGCACGCCCGTGGCAGCCTCCAGGGCTCCGCCACACGCTGTCAGCACACACCAGGGAGAAAAAATGACAATTTGCTTTTCTTTTTCTTTTTTTACTCTTTTTAGTTATAGTAAGGTTTTTTTGTTTTGTTCTTAATAGTAGAGGGTTTTACGGCGCTCGCAACTGCATAAGGTCATACGAGCGCTAAGGGGTGGGGTGTCAACAGAGAAGTCTTTACAGGGAATCAGACTTATTCTGCTCACCTCTCCAGCTTCAACAGCACAAAGTCTGCTTCGACTATCAAGGCACGTCGGAAATAGCGGGTAACAAGAGAGTGACAAACATACAAAAGAAGTAGAGGAAAATGACATTAGTAAGGATCAGGAAAGAAAAAGTAGCAGTTCCTATATTCTTCATGATTTCCAAGTTCCTCAAAACACAAAAAGATAGCAACAAGAAAAGTAAGTAAAAAGGACACAGATAAGATTGCTACGACCAGAAAACTACCTCAACAGCCTACTACGCATGAATCAGATTTCTGAGGTGGTCTTCACTTCAAGCAGCGGTTTAGCTATTGATCTATCAATCTATATCTATATATATATATATATATATATCTATATCTATGTATATATATATCTATATCTATATATATCTATATATATTTAACAGATGTACACTTATTCAAAGTTAAACAAGCACATAAACTTGGCCCAACCCCCCCCCACACACACACACAATAATAAAGGACAGCATTTTTATAGCGCAAATTCCCGCTCAACAGCAACCTCTATATGCTTTACAATTTAATATTATTACGCTAGCAGACCTGACAGCATTCTGAAACAATCTCAACTTCCTGTAAAGCATACAGTTCAAGCTGACATTTATAGGTGCTAAAACACTATAATATACTGACAAGATCTTTCGCTGTCTATGGCTGGGTACCCATTCCCACCTGGGCGAGGTGAGGAATATTCATGTAAAATGTCTTTCCCAAGAACACAACATCAACCTGTGGACCGAACCCCCAATCGAACCCGCAACCTTACGATTACGAGTCTAACCACTACATTACAGACGTCACCAACAACTCAAATATGGGTGCGGCGCTGAGACTAGTCTCCAATACACAGTTAAAACTGACGGGCACCCTTTGATTTCCAAGAAAAAAAGAGGGCATGTTAGACAATTGGGTGTCCTGGACAGTGTCATTTTAATGGGGGTTTTTTAATACATAATTTTTTTTTTAAGTCGAGGGAAGAAGTGGGAGTGGTCATTTGCTTCATAAGCTTTTAACGTTATTTTTTTTATTATAGTCGTTCTGTGCCTATGTCTGGATGAAAATAGTCTTTGTGTGTGTGTGTGTGTGTGTGTGTGTGTGTGTGTGTGTGTGTGTGTGTGTGTGTGTGTGTGTGTGTGTGTGTGTGCATAAATATATATTGAAAGGAAGTAGTAAGAATGGTTTTGAAAATGGGTACTCCAATGAAAAGCGCATTGAGCTACTTTTTTGGAAATGCGCTATATAAATGTTACATATTATTATTATCAAGAAGGTTCAACAGTTTTTTAAAACTAGAGCCCAGTGAGATAAACAGTCCACCAGCGGACCCTAGATACCCACCTTGTGCCACAACTCGATAATGGACAGCCACTCTCATCTCTGGGTGATAGGTCTGAGCTCTCTGGACGACAATCCTGTAAAAAGAGGGCCAGAAACATCTAGTTAACTTAAACTCAAAGCCACCTCAGGCCCTATTCCGAAAATTACTCCTGCCTCCTTGTTCAAACTTTGTTTTTGTTTTGGTAAGTGTTTTACAGCGCTTGCAACCGCATTAAGTTATATGAGCGTCTCGAACACATTAGTCATTTTTCAGTTCGGTAGGAATTAATTTTTAATTTTGACTGGGTGGCGGCCAAACCTACTCTTATAGATTTTTAGAACACCAAGGGATCTTTAATAAGTGCAACTTACACACAGGACCCCTCAAGTTTGAATAAATTTTAACATATTTTGTAAAAAATTGTCACACAAAATAAAAATATCAAACAAACTGTAAAATATAGATGAAAAATAGAAGTTTAGTTTTAGTAGAAAGAGTTTTACGGCACTTGCAACACAATAAGGTCATATAAGAGCCGAAGATTAGAGGTGTTACAAGAGAGTAACAAATATAAAAAAGAAGGAGGAGAGATCAGAACGATAGATGTTAGATAGGAAAGAAGGAGCAAACCACACCAGAGCACCTGCCAACCAACTACATTAAAAAAACAGTCATTACACAAACTCAATAAAACTAAAATACACAAAGACAAACAACACAAATAAAGACAAACTTCACAAAGGCAAACTGTCCAAAACAAAGACAAACTACATAACATAAATGGTTGCTTTTAAGCACAAGGGGGCTATTCCGGAAAACGCTGTTTTGAGAAAATCAAAGGTAAAGTTTTTGCCCCTTGCTCAGTTTTTTTTTTTAAAGACAAGGAGAGTTTTCTCTACAACCAAACAAATATACACACATCAATAAGACCAAACATCTCCGTTGCGTTGGGAAATGCCCACTTTTGGTGTGGGTCAAGATTTCTGGAAATCCCTGAAATCTGGGTTAGCCCGCTTGTCCTTAAAAACAACCAAATGAAGACAAACTACACAAAATCAAACTATAAACTACACAAACAAAAACGACCCCCCCTCTTTCCCTCCCTGACCTGGCGCCAGTCTGTGCCGGGATGTAGATCTGCAGCATCGGGCCGACGGCGGGGACGGCGGAGTAGCCGGCCAGCACTGTCTGCCCTGTGAGGCCCGAGTAGATGTTCAGAGAGTCGCCCTGTCCTAGGCTGACCACATCCAGGTCCAACACAATGGTGCCTGAGGGAGGGGGATGAGAGGAACAGGGAGGGGTGGGTCAAAGATTTTCAGAGGAAAGGTTTAGTTTTAGTCTTAGTAGATGTTTTACGGCGCTCGCAACTACACAAGGTCATATGAGCACCAGAAGATTAGAGGTGTTACAAGAGAGTAACAAACATAAAAAAGAAGAAGGGGAGATAAGGACGATAGACATTTGATAGGAAAGAAGAAGCAAACCACACCACAGCACCCCCTGAGGGAGGGGGATAAGTGGAACAGGGAAGGGTGAGTCAAAGATACTCAAGGGGACGGAGAGGGGGGGGGGTGTGAAGGAGATCAAGGGAGACGCAGCTTTTTGACAAATTTTAGCCAATTTCACATTTATACGAAAGGCATATCAAAGGAAATATATAACCACCCCCCCCTCCCCCTAGTGACCGGAATATGAAACGTTTGACCAATGAGAAGAGGTATGTTATGTGAACAACCTGTACTATTTTATTATGAAAACTTTATTTAATAACATAATAACATAAAATGAATTTAAAATCTTGTTATGTGTATGCGACTTATGCTGTTGTCATGGTAGTCTCTTCTGTATAATGTAGGCTTTATGTAATGGGGCCCAATGGCCTTAAAACACTGAACAAACACTTACTTACTCAGCCAATTGAGACTGTGAATCATCACCTGTTCCATTGCACAGCCCTAATGATAATAGAGCCACACTTCTCCCCCCCCCAAGATCTAACACTGACATCACACTCTACGAAACATTACAACAACTGCAGCAAACCTGCACTTATCACCACATAGCATTGGACAGAACGGCGAAAGCCCAGCTGTAACATGGAGAGGAACATTCAAGTTGAAGAAAAAGAGACACAACAAGAAACAACATGTTCAACACCACCACATTAGGGCCAAAAAAACAAAAATCCCAAGTTTCTATAGTGTTGAGTGAAGAGAAGCACAATGACATAATAACTGTCACTTACTGCTGGATGAGGGAGAAAAAACATTGAAAAGGGGGGAAAAAAAAAAAAAGAAAAAAGAAAATGGGCCATTTCCCTCACCTTGACTGGCCTTGGGTGCTAAAGTCCACTGGCACGTCTGCGTCTGGTTACCGTCCGACGCCACATAAGCCAGGTGAGCAGTCAGGCCGGTCACCAGTTGGTCACAGCCTGAAGGGGAAACAAAGAGGGTATGGAGGGGGAAGGGGGGGGATGTCCACACACATTAGATTTGGAGGTAGGATTTTCCCAAACGAAGTACAGCGGGGTCAAAGTAAACTGAACATGGTCAATCTGAAAACAGCGCGGTAAACTGAAAGAAAAGAAAATCCTTAGTTCTTCTTCTTCTTCTATTAGAGCAACCTCTCTAATCCCAAAACTTGGATTTTGGATTAGAGAGGTTGCTGTAACTTGGATGCACTTTGTAAGGACCCCCGGGCGAGTGTTGAGTTCCTGCGTGCTGTCGGCATCGCTGACCGTTTATGACGCCACAGAGAGAGGGAGAGACAGAGAGAGAGAGAGAGAGAGAGAGAGAGAGAGAGAGAGAGAGAGAGAGAGAAACTTGGATAAACTGAATAACAACCAGTGGTAGGTCCTGCACATTTCAGTGGAAGCGGACTTTACCACAGTTCAGTTGATGGAGATGTGGTCCTATCCTAGGCACACACAGACTTCTTAGATTGATTTGATCAAATATTTTTCTTTACGGATTGTTAGTTCTTTAAACCCTTTACGGGTTTTACCTCACAGTATATGATCACATCACATTTGGAAATGGGATTCTCCTAAACAAAGTAGGTCAGCCGATGGAGATGGGGGATCTTAGGCACACACTGACTTCGTAGGTTCATTTGATTAGATCTAACTTTTTCTTTACAGATTGTTCTTTTAACACTTCACAGGAAGATATTACCCTATCATATTAGATCGAATTAGATCTGGTCATGGGATTCTCCTAAAGTAGGTCAGGCAGTGTCATTCTGTCCATCTAGGCGCACACTAGATTGGTTGGATTAACTATTTCCTCACCGGTTTATTCTTTGCTCCTGACATCCAGTGCTGCCGCGAGCTGACAAAAAGCTTCTTTCCTTTTTGGCACCAAAATTTTTTATTGGCTAAATCAAAAGCTTGATCAGTTGCTTTACTTGTGTGAAAAAATCAAATTGAAACTGTGACTAGTTTTTGAATAAACTAGAATTCAAATTTCGGAATGACTATTTTTAAAAACGATACACCGACATTCTGACGAAAAACATTTTTTCTCGAAACTGCTGGGAGGAAAAAAAAAAAGAGCATTTTGTCAGCTTATGGCAGAGTGGGTATTAGATCCTTTTGTGCAACAATTTATCAGCACACGGTCAAAAGGCGTACAGAAAGACACTCCTGTACTAGCAAAACGTACAAAAAGACATGAGTTTTTTGTTTTTTGTCCATCGAGGTAATGAAAACCATCTAGTCACCCTGCAGTGAGGGGATGGGGTGGGTTGGTGGTGAGAGTGCAGATGACGGATCAGGCCATTGCATACCCCGAAAGTTTTGTCACAAAGCAAACAGGAGACAGTGGCAGCCGCTCGCCACCTCAGAATTGTTTTGTCACAAAGCAAACAGGAGACAGTGGCAGCCGCTCGCAACCTCAGAATTGTTTTGTCACAAAGCAAACAGGAGACAGTGGCAGCCGTTCGCCACCTCAGAATTGTTTTGTCACAAAGCAAACAGGAGACAGTGGCAGCCGTTCGCCACCTCAGAATTGCAGAGTTCTATCTGACATTTTTGGTTGTTTTGAGTTACTAAGACCATGAGGCCATAAACCAAATGTTCTCATTGCTTTATCAAAATCTTAAGATTATTCAGTCGTTGTCAAGATATTTAAAAAAATTGAATCCCAAAAAGCTAGACATGATGTGAAACTCCGAACATTTGACATCAAATTTCTCAAAACTGGGTAGAGAGCAGACAGAACTTTGTCATTCTAAGGTAGCGAGTTGGGAGATCTGTTGGCATTATTCTTCCTGGCCAACCCGCACTGCTCAGCCGCAGCAATTTCGTTCCTTTCACAGATCTCTATGCTTTAACAAACAACTGATCGCCACCTGACAGTTCGGGAAAGTTTAGTTTTAGTATGAGTTTTACAGCACTTGGAAGCACAGTAAGGTCATATAAGTGCCGAAGATTAGAGGTGTTACAAGAGAGTAATAAGCACAAAAAAGAAGTTGGAAAGATCAGGGCGATAGATGTTTGATAGGAAAGAAAGGGCAAACCACACCAGAGCACCCGCCAACCGCCCGTTGTTCTGGAAAGTTTCCTTCTGTGTTGTGTGGTTGATGAAAAGACTTAAAGCACTTATTGATGCCTTAGTGTAAGGCTATTTTAAAGGCTTTATTTCTGAATACAATATGCACCACTATCAGGACCTTAGTAGGAGAAGTAACTAGAAAATTAAGCAAACAATCCAAAGTTGAAGATTCAAACCAGGGTTACCCACACAATAGCCCACTTTGATACCAGTTAAACTATCAAAAGCCCCTTGCAAGCAGAGCACCTGTACACTCACATTTTGCTTAGACAAAAGTAATGCTACTGGGGAAAAAAATGAATAAAGGTAAAGAAATACATCTTATTTTCGGGAATTCAACCAACTTAAATCTCAGTAAATACATTAGCATGATAACAGACATATAGTTCATGGAAAAAGCAAAACAGACAGAAAGAATGAATGAGAAGAAGGACCTACCAGTGGTACCCTCCAACCACCTATATTTCATCTTAAAAAGGCAAATAAATCAAACAATAGAGGCTACTATAGCTCTATTGTACTCCAAAACTTCCACTACTTTTAAATGTTTTCTCAAGACTAGGCTTAATTTGTAATAATAGATAACATTTGCATCGTGCAAATTCCTGTTCAATAGCAAGCTCTATGCACTTTACAATCTATATCATCATCTATATTATCACCCCAGCAGACTTGACAGCATTGCGAAACAATCTCAAATTCCTGGGAAGCATACAGCGACATATTATACTAACAATATATGACCCTTCTTGCTTGAGTAAAGAGAAGAACATCGACACAATAATGGTCATTAGTGCAGGGAAGAAAGTAAGATGAATACAAAGAAAGAAAAGAAAATGGCACCCCCCTCCTAACACCCACTGGCCACTTTTAAGACCACTCCTCATGAACAATTCAACAACACCAACAACAAGCACCCCCATTTCTATTTTTCTATACTTCCATTTTCCTCAACAGTGGGGACCTGAGAAAAAGGGACAAATGCAAGGACAATTTCTGTACAGTGCAAAACACTTACCTGAGGAGATGCTGGTGAACGCAGCTGTGAAGTTCCCGTTCACTGGGAAATCTGCCAGCACCACCAGCATGGATGGCCCGCCAACCACAGTCGTCAGATCCTGGCTGTCCGCTCTACACAAAGAGAAAAAATAATATATAAATACAAGCAGTTCACAAAAGCCTTTCTCTGATCTCGTTTGAAGATGCATTTCATAACTTTCCCCACACCAGCCAGCCAAACAAAGCTGAGGATTTTCAACTCAAACTCGAAGTCATGTCTAGTTAAATGGATGAGAAGATTTCTATTTCTTTTCAATGTAGGTGTTTTTATGTCCCCACCAACACAATTCACATCATACTGAAGGTGGGCTCCATTGCTCTGACAAGACGTAAAACTTTCTGCTCAACAAAATTACCTCCTGCACCAAAGTAAGCTTCGACATTGTATGCCTAAAGTACAGCAGAAACTACCTTAGCCGGTGGAGCCAGGAAAGACTTTTCAACTTTCACGTAAAAAGACGCGAGTTTGATTTCAATATAGCAAGAATCTTCTTTTTTTTTTTTTTGGAGCACTTTCAACATGGATGCTGTATTGTATCAGACACGGGTCAGGTTGGACCTGAAAGGCATGGGTGACGCAGCCACCTCCTAGACTATCTAAAACTATGTTGTGGAGAACTTATCACATTTACAGTCAATCAAAGCAACCACTCAAACCCAATGAAGAAAAAGATTCACAGACCTAAGGCATCCTGAACTCTGTAATTGCAGGAAAAGTACTTCATCCTCCCCCTCTCCCTCCCAAGTTGGAGCAAACTTCCACACCTCTACAGGCACATCAGCCTGCAACAATCGTCTCTACTCACGTTAGCACAGCCAGCACTTCCTGGTCCATCTGAAGTCCATTGTAGAAGGTCAAAGTCGTGTTGCCTGTGAGTTGTGTCTGCAGAGTCACGCTGGCCTGAAAATAGTTGTTCCGCATTAGAAATTAGTGCCATAGAAACATTCAACTCTTCCCAACAAAAAAACAAAAAAGGAGTGTGGGGAGGTGGGGGGGGGGGGGAGGGTAGACATCTCAAGGCGTACCAAATTTAAAACAGATTACTTAACAGAGACCCATAGAACTGGGAATGCAATAAAGGGGAGATGCTATTGAGATTATGGTCTCTTTTGAACTCCCCATAAACATTAAGTTGTTTTATCACCATGCTCAGTGTGTTTATGGGAAACACTGAGAGGTTTGAGAGGGATGAAATCATCATTCCGAGACAACCAAGAGGAATTTCATGTGCCTGCTGCTTTCTTACATCTCACCACTTGGATACAAACTAACTTACGTCCTGTACATGACCACCACCTGGAGATGTGGACAATCATCCATTTATCTGTTAAATGCCTTGGTAAACATATCCAGCACGTAAATGCACTCAAAAACACATTCCTCTGTGATGTTGGCCTTTTGCGGCTGTACAGACGATCTTGAAGCAGTATACATGATAAAGCTTTGCCTGGGCGGGAGACACAGAGGAAGTAGCTCGTCCAAGTATTACTTCCCATTCCTCTGTAAGAACAAAAAAAAAGTAACATGCACCTTGTCACACCTTGTCCAGTGTCGGGGTCACTACAGTCGGACCATGTCCATTTCTGCTCTCCCTCCCTCTTCAGGATCCATCCCAGAGTCTGTCTGCTTACAGTCTCCATCATAATCTGGTTGGAGATCCGTCGGACTGGTCCGCACAGACGGCTGTTTCTCCCTTCTCTTTGGATTCCCTTCTCCATCAATCTACCTAGGCTGAGGGAACCGCTATCCGCCCTATTCTTCCTCAAATTTTCCCTTACAGCGGTTAGGACGGATGGTGGGTCCAGTGTCAAATTCCCTCCCACTTTTGCTCCTCCAGCCAGCTTGTCTGCTCTCTCGTTGCCGGTTACCACTGCGTGGCCCGGGCAGAAGATCCAGGCCACTCTTTCCAGGCTGCTCTCCCTAATCATAGCCTTCCAGTCCACAAACAGCATCCCTTTCTGTACCTTCTGTAGCACACTACACAAAAAAGTAACATTCGGTGGCCTAGTGGTTAGGCTCTCAGACTCACAACCATAAGGTCATGGGTTTCAATCCAGTCAGGGGTCCAACGTTGTCCTTGGGAAAGACACTTTACAAGATTTTTCCTCACTTCACCTACTGGGAATGGGTACCCAGCTATAGACAGTGAAAGATTTTGTCAGTTTGTTAATGTTTGAGCGCTAAATCAGCTGCTTGCACTGTATGCATCCTGGGAATCTGAGAATGTTTCTGAGTGTTCTATGGTCTGCTTGGGTAATATAGAGTAAAGGGCACAGAGTTTGGTGTCAAGCGGGTATGTGCGCTATACAAATGCTATTTATTATTATTATTTTATTATTTTCTCCACATCATCTGTCTCTTTATCTGGACACTGACCTGTTTCCCTGAGTCAGCTAGCAGCTGGAAGTAGGTGGTGACTGTGTCCACTGCGTTGTCATCCGTTCCAGGCTTGTCCTCGCCCGCATGGAGCTGTCCACTCCCGACCAGCCGACCACCCTGGGCTGGGGATTGAGGGAAGAATATGGTAACACATACACCCATGAAAACAAAATTGTCATTAAAAAATATTTCTTTGACAGAAAATCAGAAAAGGAAAATTTTGGCTTCACGTAATTTGATACATAATCTCTTTTTTCAACCCATTTGTTTCTTTTAAATGATACATGTATCACTAAAAGTTGCATTAGTCAGTTGAGTTAGTAATTTAATCATATAGAAACGATATAACTCATTAGTGTTTATAAGTTTTAAAGAAAATAAAGAAAAAATATTTCGATAATAAATGCTTCAAAACATCCTTGAAATTTTCAAAAGAAAAAAATGGAGGGAGTTAATGAAAAATTTGAATCTCTGTAAGAAGTAAAAGTTACTATCAGGCCATCTAAGAAATTTCTTACCAAAGTTTGTCAGTGACGATACCATTTTTAACATCTTTAAAAGTGCATTCCAAAGAGTCTACTCAAGCTACACCACTCCCAAAGAAACGTGTCCACTGCTATTTAAGTGTGCTTATACAGATATCACAGCCTGCATCATTCATGAAAATGATTTAATTATTTTTCAGACATTTTATTACAATAATCTTTACTTCTATTTTTTGTATAAACCAGTGAAGTTAAGAACATTTAATTTTGCACCTCTAAAAGAAGAGTAATTAACTGTATGGAATTGAGGGGAGGGGGGTGTGCGCATGCAAAAAGATGAACAGGGCAGACACGTTACGTGTCTGTGCACAATGAATATTCTCAACTATCAACAGACGTCTTAAATAGTATGTCATTGCAAGGATAGTACAGTTTATTACCACCACTTTCAAGGTATGTTGGCTAGGAGATCTTCCTATAAGAATAAGCTCGCCAACATTTTCAAAGCCCAATCAGGGACATGTTAAAACATCAGATTATGTAACAAAAAACAAAATTACATCAAGTGGAGACTGGTTTTGGTGTAGTGTACGTGAGAAGGCTCTATAATTCCCAAGTTGAATTTGGGACAGTCCCAGGGAATTCGGGACCACTGGAAAGCACGTAGAAAGCGAGGAGCTAAAAACAACACTTCCTACATAAAGACATGATTTCTTCTAGCAGAGGGCCATTGGAAGAACAGCTCACCCAGAGGCGTGAAGACCAGGGACATTTTGCGTTCCATCTGCACACTGCTCAGGGACAGGCGAAGGCTTAGCTCAGACTGAGAGCTCAGCACCAGGTAGCCTGAGGGAAGAAAAGAGGGTGAATGGTGGGACCAAAAAAAATGTTTTGTTTTAGTAGAGGTTTTAAGGCGCTCGCAACTGCATAAGGTCATATGAGCGCCAGAAGATTAGAGGTGTTACAAAAATAAAAAAGGAGGGGAGATAAGGACAATAGATGTTTGATAGGAAAGAAGAAGCAAACCACACCAGAGTACCCGCCAACCACCCACACAAAAAAAAAGAGAGAGAGGGCTTAGGGGAAGTAAAGAGGTAGGCTGGGACAATGTGGATGACACAATCATATACATTATACATAAGGGTGTGTGCTTACAAGTGTCAGTGTGCATGTGAGTGTATATTGATTCTCAGTGACAAACTCCAACATTGGTCACTTTTTAAAATGCAATATGGCAGAGTCTTACACTAAACAGTCAGTATGAGTGAGGATGAGGGAGGTTCTGGGAAGGGTGGGGG